CACTACCTCTGAGGATGCTTGCCATAGATGCAGACGAAACGTCAGGAGAAATGCCTCTAGAACATGGCCCTAAAAAACCCACAAGAACCTTATGCATACAGTTTTTTCAAAGATCCCACTTTCTCCCCAGTTAAGCATTTTGTAAAAAAGTCTCCCACTCTTCCTGCTGAAAGCACACAGTAAATGTGCGCTATCGGTTTTTGGAGGCTTTTTAGTTACTTGTGAAAAGGATTAAATAGCCTAAAGCAGTGTTTCTCAACCTTCCTATTGCCGTGACCCCTTTGATACAGTCTATTACAACCTTTTGATTCACCGCCTAGCCGTGGCTGGAATTAGGGGGATGGCCCTTAAATGGCTGTCCTCTTTCCTTCAAAAGCGGGGCCAATGTGTGGAGAGGGAAGGGTCCGTCTCTAAGAGGGCCCCTCTTGAATGTGGGGTCCCTCAGGGGGCTATCCTTTCCCCCCTGTTGTTTAACATCTCTATGCGACCACTTGCCCAGCTGGTGCGAGGCTTTGGGCTTGAGTGCTATCAGTATGCTGATGACACTCAACTCATTCTGAGGATGGAAGGCCGACGAGACTCCATACCCGATAATTTCCATCAATGCCTTGAGACTGTTGCTGGATGGTTGCATGCCAGCAGGTTGAGGGTGAATCCAGCGAAGACAGATATCCTTTGGTTGGGTCGCCTGGACGGAGGAGTGATCTGGTTACCTACCCTGGATGGCATGACATTATGCCCGTCATCTTTGGTAAAGAGTCTGGGAGTCCTTTTAGACCCTCTGCTGACAATGGAGGCCCAGGCCTCCGCTGCAAGCAAAGTCGCATTTTTCCATCTGCGTCAGGCTAGGCGTCTGGCTCCCTATCTGTCCAGGGATGACCTGGCCATGGTGATCCAGGCTATGGCCATCTCAAGGTTGGACTACTGTAACACCCTCTACATAGGCCTGCCTTTATCGGTGATCTGGAAACTTAAACTAGTGCAAAATGCTGCCGCCCGGCTTCTTGTAGGGGTTCAAGCGAGGCGTCATATCACTCCAATCTTGCCGCAACTGCCTGGTTGCCGATTGATTACCTTCAAAGTGCTGATTCTTACCTTTAAGGCCTTATATGGCCTGGGACCAGAGTACCTGAGGGACCGCCTCACCCCCTACCAACCCCCGAGATCACTCCGTTCAGATGATCAGAATCTCCTTGAAGTTCCCAATTATAGGATCTTTCACCTGATGTCTACTAGGCGTAGAGCATTCACAGTGGTGGTTCCTTACCTGTGGAATGCCTTGCCAGCAGAAACACGAGCTCTCCAAGACTTACTATCTTTTTGTAGAGCTTGTAAAACTTATTTATTTAGGCTGGCATTTGAATCTTGCTGATCAAAATTTTTCTTTGATTTTAAATGTAATGTATCGCATATGTATATTGTAAACCACTCTAAGCCTTCGGGGAGTGGCGGTATATAAAAATGATGATGATGATGATGATTATTATTATTAATAATAATAATAAAACAATACAGTTCCCCATGTGGTTGTAATCCCCCAATGAGAAAATTATTTTCGTTGCTACATCATAACTATAATTTTGCTACTGTTATGAATCATAATGTAAATATCTGATGTGCAGGATGTATTTTCGTTTATTGGACCAAATTTGGCACAAATACCCAATACACCCAAATCTGAATACTGGTGGGGTTGGGGAGGATTGATTTTGTCATTTGGGGGTTGCAGTTGCTGGGATTTATAGTTCACCTACAATAAAAGAGCATTGGAATTGAACCAAACTTGGCACTCCCATGACCAACAGAAAATACAGGAAGGGTTTGGTGGGTGTTGGCCTTGAATTTGGGAGTTGTAATTCACCTACATCCAGAGAGCACTGTGGACTCAAACAATGATGGATCTGAACCAAACTTGGCATGAATCCTCAATATGCCCAAATGTGCACACTGGTGGAGCTTGGGAAAATAGACCTTGACATTTGGGAGTTGTAGTTGCTGGGATTTATAGTTCACATACAATCAAAGAGCCACCAATGATAGAATTGGCCCAAACTTCCCATGTAGAACCCCCCACGACCAACAGAAAATACTGTGTTTTCCTATGGTCTTTGGCGACCCCTTTGACACCCCCTTGCGCCCCGCCCCCCCCGCAGGGGTCCCGACCCCCTGGTTAAGAAACACCAGCCTAAAGGCACCAGACTGTGCCTGATCTTGGAAGCTTAGCAGGGTCAGCTGTGGACAGGGAAATGCCAATGAATACTAAGTGCTGTAGGCTATATATCTGAGGAAGGAACTGGTAAAATCACCTCTGAGTGTTCCTCGCCAAAGAAAAAACAATGCAATTCATGGGGTCTCCATAAGTCGACTGGCATCTTGAAGCACACAGACATCATTGTGAGGTTTATTGTTTTGGGAAAACAGGTTGCCTCCTCCAGTGTTTTCGTTCCCCCATAAATGTTTTAGTTAATATGCTGAATCCCATTTCAGGATCAATCAGGTAGCTTACTGGTGTTTCCATATTTTTATTTCTTTGGTTGTAGGCGAATGTTCGCAGAACCCGATCATTGCCTTTCAAGGAACAGATACTGTCTTGGAGCCAGTAGTTGACAGCACGGCAACCTATATTACCTGGAAAAAAGAAGAACACATTGTGGCTGAGTCGGCGATCTCTAATAATTTAAATGGCAACTATATTATCAAAAATGTGTCACGCAGTCATGATGGACTTTACACAGCAGAAATCGAAATTGGACGTAAAATAGAATACAAACATTTCTGTCTGAAAATATTAGGTAAGTAGCAATATGCAAGATCAATTGTAAATTCTACTGGCATAGAAATACTAAGTGCAGAGCAGAGTTTTTTTTTCTTTTTTCCAACAATTTGAACTATTCGTAAAAATGTACAGAGCAATAAACAGTTTGGCTACTGTAGTAAAAACTTCAAATAATATAGTAGGCTAACAGATGGAGTGCTATATTGCATTGCAGATTGTGCTGGCACTTAGAATGAAAGTAATGTATTTTATGTAACTTAACCCAGTGTAATTTCCATTAGGTCAGTGTCAACTGTGGCCATCCTACAAATACATCAATATCTTATTGAGTCAAGCCAAGGTTTTGTTGATTTAGTCTAGCCACCTTTCATATGTTTTTTTTTTCTCTCAGTTTGCTGAACATTGCCATTTTTCTAATTAGTTGTGTTGTCTCATGATACATCCTCTGCATTTTGGTTTCCAGGGAAAGTTGAGGCTTGATTTGATTTCAGACTCCTTCATTTGTCTTTCTGGCTGCCCATGGTACCCATAGAACCTTCCTCCATCATCACAGTTCAGATGAATGGACATTTTTCTTGTCAGTTTTTTTAACTGTCCAGGTTTCACAAGTACATATAGAAATCAGATAAGACTATGGCATGGACAAACCTGGTTCCATGATATAGCTTTACACTTAGGACAATGTATAATACCGTCATAACTGTTCTTCTATTTATTTCTTTATTTTGGACTAGCTGTACCCGGCCACGCATTGCTGTGGCCCATTTTGGAGGAATGGGAAAGAAAGAAAAGAAGAAGTGTTTCTATCAATACACAACTGAAGTGGCAAAGTGTCAACCTAATATAGGCCCCTTTTCAGTCTCCTCAAAGCCAAAGGGTTATATGGATGTGTGGAAGGGCCCTGGGCTACCTGAGTCCACACTGCCATATAATCCGGTTCAAAGATATTATATAGATATTATTATTGTTGTTGTTATTATAGACCTATAGATATTATTATAGGCATATAGATATTATTATTATTATAGACACAAATATTATTATTAAAGGTATATAGATATTATTATTATAGATGTTATTTTTATTTCATATCAAATTTTTATTATTATTATTTACAGTATTTATATACCGCCTTTCTCACCCCTGGGGGGACTCAAAGCATTGCATGAATTAGTATAAAACTGATAAAAAATAGAAGGAGCACAGGGCTAAACATCTTTCGAGCAAAAACAGGCAACAGATGTATGGATATTATTACAGACCTATAGATATTATTATAGGCATATATATTATTATTATTATAGAGATTATATAGCTATTATTATTATAGGTATATACATATTATTATACATATATATTATTATTATTATTATAGACATAGATATTATAAGCATATAAATATTATTATAATAGATGTATAGATATTATTGACAGACAGATTTTATGATTATAGACATATGGATATTACTATAGACCTATAGATATTATTATAGGCATATAGACATTATTATTACAAACATACAGATATTATTATAGGCATGTAGGTATTGTTGTTATAGACATATAGATATTAGGCCTGGGTAACAACGCAAAAATTTGTTTCTAAAATCGATTCGTTTTTT